CACAACACCAGAAACCCTTGGGTTTTGGAATAAAATATGGAAAAATTTTGGAATATCCAACAAAATATCTTAACCTCCATTTACGGTACCCATCAGCAGTAAGGGAATCAGCGCGCGGGTAATACCCGACTCGGACGCTGTTACGTGAGCACGGGGAATATCCGTGTAATTCCGAGGGGTGACCGCGAGTCCCCCTTACTGCTGCTCTCTCTGTTACAAGGATATTCCCTTTCAAGCAATGGYGTAAACATGGGCGTGCTTCGAATGCATATGCGATCCCCTTGTTGTCAAAGATCAGGTTCAGGGATATTTGGTATCCGTACGGGACTTGATATATAGGRGATAGAGGGGTGGGGTAGCCTGCGTTCAGCCGTTATAATTTCTCTCGAAATATATAAAAGATATTACCGGCTTAACGCAGGCTAGGGATGGGGTGAATTACTTGTAAACAGTTTCGGCTTCTGGAATAAGTCCTAGATTTTGTCCTCATAGTCTTCAAAATTAAAAGTGAAATCGCAAAAATAAATATAGGAGGATCTGTTTGCTTGCATGCTAAAGAACGTATTTTTACTACAGGAACCCAGAGTCGAGCATTTTTACAGGTCTAGTTTCGGGGAGTTGACCAGTTTATATTCTCCTTATTATGTCCTACTTTTTATTGAATTTTCRATTTTATTTCACCATCTCTGTATGAATACCTTTTGGTGTCTCTGCCCTCATGTGAAAAAATATCATAAATACCGCACCGGCAATAATGACCTCCTTAACCCGTGTATACATATCAGTCGTCTACAAGGCCCCACCGTTTATTATTTTGCCAGACTTTTCGAGGGTTCATATAAATAATCCATTTTGTAATAGTTTGTCCAGCCATTGACATGACATGACCTTCATCCCTCAAGATTATAAACAGCCAGCTATAATAAATTTTTTGCAGGTTTTTCACATTTATTTTACATTTTTCATAACGCTTATTTTAAAAAATGTGCTAATCTCATTCCTTTGTTCGTTCTGCGGAATTTTCATCAAATTTGTTTGCCAAGTTTGTATTTGATCTTGAGCTAGAAGTGTCGCCTGCTCAACCGCGTGCTAGCTTGCCCGTCATCTATTCGGAGTTGTGAATTACGTCATCTGTTATACTGTATTTGATAATGTGCCGAGAATGCAGCCATATGACGTATGTATCGCGTGATCTTGTACCGTAAAAGTAGTGGATCAGATTTTTAAAGGAAGAAATCTGAGATAAGAGATCTTTTTAAGTAAGTTGCTTAGTGATAGAACAGAAATGCTAGCAATGATCATCTGGAATCCAAAAGATTTAACGTGACATTGCTCTTTCATCGATATCTTAACTTAGGTTTCAACACTCCTTGTAAAAACGACTCTTCACCTCTCCCTTCACGGGAGTTACACGCCAGTGTTACCACTTCAAATTCTTTTTTCTAAATTCTAATTATAAAACCGGAAAAGCTTTATATAGTTATGTGTTTATGACGAATGACCTGGACGAATAGGAATTACTAGTACAATACGGGGCCAAAACCAATCAAGCACAACTCCAAACTATTCCAAGTATTTTAGTCATACGGTGAACGTACTACAAATGCGTGGTCGCACGAAACGGCCCAGCCCATAGCATGCTGAGTTCGAAAGCGTTTCTTGAAGTTTAACGAATAAAAAAATTCTTTCTTACTGAGTTATCATATTCAGTAACAAGTACAAATCAATGTTGCGGGAAATATTGCCTTCGGTCACTAAATGCTGCGGGAAGACAGACTCACAGACGTCTGACAACGCATCATTAAAATCCGATTTAGCTTTGAATATGAATTTATGTATATATTTTAACTTGTTTAATCATATTAAATAAGGTTCGCACGTGGTGAACTGTTCATTTGGGCAGAAAAATTACCTAATATCATGAAAAAATAGGATYGAAAATAACCGTGACAGGGTGACAGCTCTTCTTTCCTGTTAAAGACGTCACTAATCGCTATAATTAGTGTTAAGAGACCGTTACGTCAATTTGTAACAGGCAATATGCAAAATAGATCCCTACCCGTCCCTAGACGCATGTGGTTGGTTAACACATTCCATCTTGAGAATTGGACCAATCAGGTTGGGATATTCGGGATAATGTTGTTATGCATTCTTAGCAGAAGCCACTGTAGTGTTGGATGTCCGTAAAAAAATGGCGGTTTAAAGACCAGAATTAGGACAGCTAAARTAACCCAAAAATCTCGCTCAAAACTTACATAAATTGTACTAGAATTGTTATGATTCGATCCTACAGATAACAGAGCACAATTCGAGGGGATTTTGGACAAAATGGCAGAGATTAGAACGAAATCAGAGGAAAGAGAGTATCGTCGGAGATTGATAGCGGATTGGAATGCCAGTCGTTTGGATATCTTCGCCATCAGTGAACCGACTGAGGTAAAGTTTTATCCTCATTCTCAATCCCAAACTGGTGCCATATTGTTGCGCTTTAAACTMAATGCGCTTTGAGAGTCCCAGCAAAGGATATAATATTTATAATATATCTTTTTATTTCTCTAGGATCTGGAGTATCGAGGTGTTATGCGATTTTTTTTCCAAGACTCCGGCTCGAAAGTCGCCACAAAATGCGTTCGATTCACGAACAGAGACAACACGCAAGAAGTGACTAAAGTTCTAGTCGAAAAGTTTCATCCTGACATGAAAATGCTGTCAAATCCGACTTACTCTTTATATGAAGTTCATCCAAATGGAGGTGAGTAGAGTTACGTTAGAAAACACTTCAAACAAATGTGTTGAATTTCAAGATTTTCTGAAATTTCCCGCTACGCTGAGTTTCGTAACCAAGTCTTGAATACTAATTCCTTCGTCTTTAAATAATATTTTAGTAGTCCGAAGTAGCAAAGTTTTATTTATTTTAGTTTGTCTTCGTTGCTTGCAGAGGAAACGATTTACCGAGTTCGTAACGCACTAAGAATGCTATATCAGTAGTGTAGCGTTTCAAATCGCATTATTTCAACATTGCCTGTGTTGATAATATTTAGCTGTATTCTTTCGTAATGTCATACTCAAATCTTCGCTGAATTCATTATTTTTAAGCTTTTCTACTTCACCACTTCGTTAACATCGAGGTTTATAACCTAGTGCTAACCTCGTAAAAAGAGAGCTGGGCTGACAAGTTAAAAACTAAAACTAATGATTTGGTTTGCTAGAATTTTCGCTTTCTTGTGCAGCTTTTTGAATTATCTCCTCCATTCACGGCTATTTTACACTTGTTGTTATTAAATATGAATCAAGAGTCAGATATATAAGAACTAAAAGATGACCTAAACGAGTCATTTGGGTTTGTAAGTTGAGGTTAGCCGACTTCGAAATACGAATTTACTCTCAACTACTGCTCTTATTTTCGACTTTCACCTAAAACCACAGAGGATAATTCCTAACCAAACTATCYTTTATCTCTCTGAGGCTTTCAAATATGAACAAATACCTGCATTACCCGAGTTTTTCAGACACTAACCGAGAGCTCTTTGCGGAAGTATTGTTGTAAGCTCTGAGTTCAATTCAGATATCAAGTTACGCGACCAATTTTCTTCTATTTTTGCTCGGTTCAAAGAGTTTAATTTGCCTCGCTTGATTTCATGTTTACAGCTTATTATTCTCACCAAAAACTCAATTTTTATTCTGTTAGAATGTTCGCTTTCGAGTAGAATATCTGATATTCAATATTGTACGAAATTTTTACTCCTTTCAGCATTGTTAGTATTACAAGATTAGCATTGTTCGATGATGGCCATAACTGCGATAATTTTTCAAATTTTTACTATTTATTTATRCGAGTAATCATTCCTTTTAACTATATATAACATTGGAAATATATAATATATGGTATATAATATTGAAAATAGGCTTTATCTGTACAATGTACAAAAGTAAACGATAAACTATAAAATAAACACAAATATAGTTGAAAAGGAATTTAAAATTTTCAGTTTATCACGAGAATATCTTTTTGTCGTTCCCTTTGCTGGTTTTCTTGAAATTTCGTTCTCAAATGTTGCAATTTTTCAAATTAAATCTGTCAGACTTTTGGTTTGTTTACAAATCCTTACTTCACACTTATCAGATGTTTTTGTTTTCATCCTAACGTCAAAAACCACCTCTTATTCTCTCGCTAATATTCAGACTTTCCAAAACTTGATGCATTCATTATGTTCATCGTTACCTCGAATTATCACTGTCCCATATTTTTGATTTTTTTAAATCAACTACTTGAGTTTTTCATTTATCTATAAGAAATTAATAATCCTAATAAAATGTGATTTACAAATCTTTTTATTAAATCAGCCTTAAAGAAAATGTTCACACATTTTWAATATAACTTTTGGTTGCCTAGGAGATATGCAAAGGCAGAGGTTTTGTATGTTATTAAGGTGGCAGTCCACATGGTTCTTCATTGTGGTCCCACAAGAAGACCTTTTAAACATCTGATCTGGTCAGAGTAAAATGTTGACGAAAGAACGATAGGCCATTGCAATAGTAGCAGTTATCTTGTTTGTGGCAATAGATCATTTTCGAGTTCCAAATTACTGCCTTGCTCCTTGATTACAGACTCATTTACACAGGGTTAGCCTGTAATCAGTGTCTAAATATTCACAAATACCAACGGTAAAGTAAAAAATGCACAACTTCAACAATACAAACACTTTGAAACTCGACGGACCTTGACTGGAACACGTGAATATTCTTCACAAAATCGAGGCTAAGCCAGAGTAAGTGAGTCTGTAATCAAGGAACACAGCGGTAATTTGGAACTCAAAAAGGGTCTGCTTGCCATAATCGAATTGTAGACATGATTTTTCAAGGTTTTTCATTGGTCAATTTACCCAAAAGTACTGCTAAATTCGAATTTCAGTATGATTGATTCACATTTTGTTCATTTACTTTCGCTTTTTTACTGCCTTGTACATAATATGTGGACTATTACTTAAAGTGCAAATGAACCCTTTGACAATACATTCAGTACTG